ATGCCAGAGGGCAAGCATTTCCAGCACCTAAGACAAACAGCTCAATGGCTCAAAAAGAATTTGGAACATAAACAACAGCCCCATTGCCACAGGCTGGCTTTGGGCACATCTACACTGACAATTTAATGCAGCTTCAAGCTGACACCAAGATGTGGTGGCTAGAAAATGCATACCGCCAAAGCATGCTTCAGTACAAATTAAAGTCTATTTATTTATTATTGTTGTTGTTCATTCGTTCAGTCGTCTCCGACTCTTCGTGACCTCATGGACCAGCCCACGCCAGAGCTCCCTATCGGCCGTTACCACCCCCAGCTCCCTCAAGGTCAGTCCAGTTACTTCAAGGATGCCATCCATCCATCTTGCCCTTGGTCGGCCCCTCTTCCTTTTGCCTTCCACTTTCCCAGTAATTGTCTTCTCTAGGCTTTGCTGTCTCCTCATGATGTGGCCAAAGTACTTCAACTTTGTCTCTAGTATCCTTCCTTCCAGTGAGCAGTCGGGCTTTATTTCCTGGAGGATGGACTGGTTGGATCTTCTCGCAGTCCAAGGCACTCTCAGAACTTTCCTCCAACACCACAGCTCAAAAGCATCGATCTTCCTTCGCTCAGCCTTCCCTAAGGTCCAGCTCTCACATCCGTAGGTTACTAAAGGGAATACCATGGCTTTGACTAGGCGGATCTTTGTTGCCAGTCTGATGTCTCTACTCTTTACTATTTTATCGAGACTGGACATTGCTCTCCTCCCAAGAAGTAAGCGTCTTCTGATTTCCTGGCCACAGTCTGCATCTGCAGTAATCTTTGCACCTAGAAATACAAAGTCTGTCACAGCCTCCACGGTTTCTCCCTCTATTTTCCAGTTGTCAATCATTCTTGTTGCCATAATCTTGGTTTTTTTGACGTTTAGCTGCAACCCGGCTTTTGCGCTTTCTTCTTTCACCTTGATTAGAAGGCTCCTCAGCTCCTCCTCGCTGTCGGCCATCAGAGTGGTGTCATCTGCATATCTGAGGTTGTTAATGTTTCTTCCAGCAATTTTCACCCCAGCTTTGCATTCATCCAGCCCCGCACATCGCATGATGTGTTCTGCATACAAGTTAAAAAGGTTGGGCGAGAGGATGCAGCCTTGCCGTACGCCTTTCCCAATCTTGAACCAGTCTGTTGTTCCGTGGTCAGTTCTGACTGTTGCTACTTGGTCCTTGTACAGATTCCTCAGGAGAGAGACAAGGTGGCTTGGGATGCCCATCCCACTAAGAACTTGCCACAATTTATTATGATCCACACAGTCAAAGGCTTTAGAATAGTCAATGAAGCAGAAGTAGATGTTTTTCTGAAACTCCCTGCCTTTCTCCATTATCCAGCGGATATTGGCAATCTGGTCTCTCGTTCCTATGCCTTTTCTAAACCCAGCTTGAACATCTGGCAACTCTCGCTCCATGTATTGCTGGAGTCTTCCTTGCAGGATCTTGAGCATTACCTTACTGGCATGAGAAATAAGGGCCACTGTACGGAAGTTGGAGCAGTTATTTATTATTAACTTCATTTATATACTGCTTGGAGGGACGGTTTCCAACATATTCACAACAAAATTCAAGTCCTTAGAAAACATGAAAAACGTAACATAAAACAACAGTAACATAAAACTATCAATTAAATCATAAAATGTAACTACATTTAAACATTAAAACAAGGGATTAAAAACATATTAATATAAACATTAAAATCACATGATTCAAAAGCATGGTCCAGGCCGTTCCAGTATCAAATAACAATTGCACATACTCCATGTTTGTTTCTTATCCTGCATGCTTGGTTCCACCACCATGTTTTTGCTTTTTTTTCCCCTGAAGGCCAAGAGGGAGGGTGCTGATCTAATTTCGTTGAGGACAGCGTTCCGTAGACAAGAAGCCACCACTGAGAAGGCCCTGTCTTTCATCCCCACCAGTTTAAAATGCATTAGGTCCAAGGTAAATTCCTTAATGTGCTTAAGCAAGCATTACATCTAAATAACATTATATGGAGAAAACAGCTCTATGGAATGCAAAGTACATTGTAGGTACTGGTCTGCATGGAAGCATACTTAAAATAAGGATGCATCAAGGACATAGCTGGGTGGCTGAGGGCTAATTAAACTATTGGGACAGGTAATTGATTACCTCCACTGCAAACTACCACTTTCCCTTCCCATCTGCTTTTTATGCCTCCAGAGCGCTGGTGTTATAATTCCTTCAAAGTCATGCCATAAGTGCAAACATGGGACATAATATTGTGGGCTCTAGAGGAGACCATTGGTCCAAAATGTTTGGCTAGGAGGAAGCAATAAAAAACTGCTATTAATTAGAACAGATGAGTGAAAGTAAATTGAACCTCTTAAAATTGATAGACATTAGAACAAAGGATTGAGATGTATGATTGATGAACTAATAACTAATTGGGATGATATTCTTTCCTGAACGAGAGTTTACAGGCAGGACTTTATAAAGCTGGTGCTCAGTTCTGAAAAGGAAAGAAATACCTTGATTGTTTTTTGCTTTTTGTTGTTTGTTAAGCAATAAAGCACTCTCTGCAGGATAGACTGGGTTGCTGTGAGTTTTCCGATCTGTATGGCCATGTCCCAGAAGCATTGTCTCCTGAAATTTTGCCGAATCAGTTGCCTGAGAGAAGGGCTAACAGTGGGATCACTTGGGAACGTCGCATAAGTAGCTGGAGACCAGATCAGTTAGGTGCTGGAAGCAACAATTTTTTTCCCTGTGTTAGGAGCGACTTGAGAAACTCCCAAGTCGCTTCTGCTGTGAGAGAATTGGCAGTTTGCAAGGACGTTGCCCAGGGGACACTCAAATGTATTGCCATTCTATGGGAGGTTTCTCTCATGTCCCCGAATGGGGAGCTGGAGTTGACAGACAGGAGCTCACCCCGCTCCCCAGATTCAAACCTTTCTGTCAGCAGCCCTGCTGGCACAAGGATTTAACCTATTGTGCCACCAGGGACTCCTGCAATTAAGAACTGATGCCATTCAACTGGAGGGATCCAGGCAGTTGGCTGTGAGGAGGGCCAAGATTGGGATCACTTGGGAAAGTGGTGTAAGTAGCTGGAGACTGGCTCAGTTAGGTGCTGGAAGCAACATTAGTGAAACTGTTACAGCCTGTATCTCTGGAGGTGTGCCTTAAGTTAGGTGTGTGGAATAGGTTTTGGCTTGCAACCTAGTTGTTGGTGAGATGACTTAGCTTTGACCATTTTGGAAAGGACTTTTTGAATTCTTCTTGTCTCACCCTCTCAGACTGCTTTGGACTGAAATGAGTTCTGTCTCCCATCCTGGACATTCCACAGATATATACTGTGTTCCCTCGCTACTTTGCTTTTCGCGAACTCGCTGTTTTGCGGTTTTTCAATAAATATGAATTAAAATATTTATTGAAATTATTTTAAATATTCTCCCTCGCAACTTCCTTTCCTTCTCACTTGTAACTTCCATGCACCCCCTCAGCCCTGAGGCTCACCCATTACCTGTGAGGACCCCCATGTGGATTTGGTAGTCGTGGTTGGTTAAAATTATTCCCTCTGATGCCATGTTTCCCGGCGCAGACATTGCACTGACAGGGAGGCGGGTGGGGGGAGCCGCGGGGTAGGGGAAGGAGGAAGAGGGAGAAGGTGTGTGAGCAAGAAAGGAGGAGGGGAAGGAGAGGAGGAGCCAGCAGGAAGTGTGGTGTGCAAAGGGAGGTGGAGGGAGGGAGGGAGGGAGGGGAAAGAGGAGATAAAAGAGAAGGCAAAGTGATTGAGTGAGAGAGAGAGGGGAGGGGGGAGAGAGGAGTGGGCGGAGCCACACCTAGTAGGGGCTGGTCTAAAAGGTGCTGCTCGACTAAAGTGACTGAAGGATTTTGTTTCTAAGGTAAAGGAAAAGTGTTCTGTAGTGTATAAATGTGTGGGGAGGGTTTATAAAGACTTAAAATTGTGTATAACTACTGAATTAATGTATACAGTGTTCCCTCGCTACTTTGCGGTTCACTTTTAATGGACTCACTAATTTGCGGTTTTAATTAATATTTTTTGAAAACCGCGAAACAGCGAGTCTGCTAAAAGCGAACCACAAAGTAGTGAGGGAACACTGTATACATAATTTCAGTAGTTACACACAATTTTAAGTCTTTATAAACCCTCCCCACACACTTATACATTATGGTATTTTTGCTGTTTCGCAGGTTTTTGCTGCTGCCGCTCTCCGAAGCACTTTCCCTCCTCAGTCCTCCCTCCCTCCAGCCTTGAAGGGCTTTTCCTTCACTTTATTTTACATTTATAAAGACTTAAAATAGGGTATAACTATTAAAATAATGTATAAATATTAACATAAATATAGTGTCCTACATCGTGGTTTTTCACTTTTTCAGGAGGTCCTGGAATGTAACCCCCGCAATATGTGAGGAAACAATGTAAATATTAAAATAAATATAGCGTCCCTACTTCACAGATTTTCACTTTTTGCAGGTGGTCCTGGAACGTAACCCCCGCAATAAGTGAAGGAACACGGTAAATATTAAAATAAATATAGCATCCCTACTTTGCAGATTTTCACTTATCGTGGGTGGTCCTGGAACATAACACCCACGATAAGTGAGGAACACTAGAAACCCAAGTTTCCTAGTTTCCTTCAGACCTCACAACCTCTGAAGATGCCTGCCATAGATGCAGGCGAAACGTCAGGAGAGAATGCTTCTAGAGCATGGCCATATAGCCCCAAAAATAACCCAGTTGACCAGTAATTTGGTAGCCAGCTTGGCCCTGGAAACCTACTGGGTGAGAGTGGGCGAGTCCCACTCTCTCAGCCTCAGAGGGAGGCAAGGGGAACTCACAAAGGAGGGCAACGTCCCTCCAGGATAAAGCCAGCCCTCCAGTCTCCTTGATCTCTGCCCAGTGGAGGGAGGGAGGGCGGGCGCCCTTTCTTTCTCCTTCCCCGCAGCTCTCGGCTGAGTCCCGCAGTGTGGGCGCTCCCTCCTCCTCCTCCTCCTCTTCTCCTGCCTCCTCCTCCTCTTCCTCTGCCAGGAAGCCCGGCTCCTCTCGGCCGCGCAGAGGGCGCAGACCCAGCTCCAGCCTCTCGGCATCATGCAGCCCTCTCCGCCGGCTCCCGCGGCTGCTGCCCTGCTGCTGGTCCTTCTGGCCACCGACTCCTCGCAGAGTGAGTAGCAGCCTCGCCACGGCCGGAGGGAGACCGGCGGGCCGCCCTTGCCTTGCCTTGCCTTGCCTTGCCTTGCCTTTCCCCTCCTTCCCCCCTCCACCGCCATTCTCTCCTTGGAGGATAACGCCGCTCCCMCTCCCACCTTCCTCCCCTTTGTGGACCGAGAGACATCTTCTTTGACACTCCACGCAGCCTTTTGCGTGGAGAGCGAGAGAAGCCTCCCGTGTGCCTGTAAACTGCCTTTCCTTCAAGGTCAGGGCATCCTCCCTTCAGCTCTGTCTCTCAAGCTCAGGGTGGCTTATTCGCGAAGACTTTCTCTCTCCCCCCCCCCCCTTTCCTTCTTGCGCCTTTCCGCTCCGAAGGAGCTTTCAGGGTCGGCTTGACCATTTGCCCTTAAATAAAGGGGTGCGCTTTCTCTCAGGAGAAAGGCTCAGAACCCCATCCACCCCCCCCCCCGTACTCTCCTCTAGCGCCCTTCCGCTTTAATTGGGCCCGAAGGGTCGGCTGTACCATTTCCCCTCCCAAAAGGTGACCTCAGTGGGGAAAAGGGGCGCGGGGATGTCATTGTGAGGGCAATGCTGGGCTTGAGGGGCGTTTCTTGGGGGTCCCTGAGGGGGGAAAGAGCGCTGAGTGGGGAAGAAGGAAGGAAGGAAGCCCGAAGTGCCCAAGGAGGACTTTGAATGTAAACAATRACCCCAACAAGGAAGGGCGCGCTTGACCTCTGGTGAGGTGCGAGGCCGAGTCCCCTCCGCTCTTTGTTCCATTCGAGTTGGACCGCGGAAGGAAGGAAGGAGGGAGGGGAAGGGGCTCCCAAAGTGGCCGCCTTGCATTGAAAGAGCCCTTCGCTCCCCTTTTCTCTCCTCTCCTCCCCTGTTTCCTGGGGGTCTCGCAGCGACGTCGGTGCTGAGGGACCGGGCGGAGGCGTCCCAGTTCCTGCGCCAGAGGCCCCGCCGCGCCTACCAGATCTTCGAGGAGACCAAGCAGGGCCACCTGGAGCGCGAGTGCGTGGAGGAGCTCTGCAACAAGGAGGAGGCCCGGGAGGTCTTCGAGAACGACCCCGAGACGGTGAGAGCCAGGGCGGGAGGCAGGGCATGCACCTGACAGACAGGGAATGCACCTCCACAGCGCTTTGCCTCAATCCTATGCAACCATGGGAGTTGATGTTATTTCACATCAGGAGTTCTTCACCTTTCCCCCACCCTCTCCTTGCCAGTCAGGTGGAAACCACAGACTCCTCCTCAGAATGCAGTGGCAGATAGTTTTCTTTCACTCAACACCTGCATGTTCATGAACAAACTTGGGCCCTCCTGGTGTTTTGGACTCAACTCCCACAATTCCAATGGGATTTTGGCCTGCATCAATAGGGGTCTAGTGTCTAGATCCAGGGAAGTCATACTACCCCTCTATTCTGCCTTGGACAGACCACATCTGGAATACTGTGTCCAGTTCTGGGCACCGCAGTTTAAGGGGGATGTTGACAAGCTGGAATGTATCCAGAGAAGGGTGACTAAAATGATCAAGGATCTGGAGAACAAGCCCTACGAGGAGCAGCTTAAAGAGCTGGGCATGTTTAGCCTGCAGAAGAGAAAGCTGAGAGGAGACATGATGAGGGCCATGTATAAATATGTGAGGGGAAGTCATAGGGAGGAGGGAGCAGGCTTGTTTTCTGCTGCCCTGGAAATTAGGATGTGGAACAAAGGCTTCAAACTACAGGAGAGGAGATTCCACCTGAACATTAGGAAGAACTTCCTAACTGTGAGAGCTGTTCAGCAGTGGAACTCCCTGCCCCAAACTGTGGTGGAGGCTCTTTCTTTGGAGGCTTTTAAACAGAGGCTAGATGGCCATCTGTCGGGGGTGCTTTGAATGCCATTTTCCTGCTTCTTGGCAGGGGTTGGACAGGATGGCACACAAAGTCTCTTCCAACTCCATGATTCTATAATTCCTAACAGCAGGTAGGCTGTTAGGAATTGTGGGAGTTGAATTCCAAAACAACTGGAGGGCCCAGGTTTGCTCATGCCTGATTTAAATCCTTCAAAATTAAGTTTTACAACTTGCTCACAATTTCAATACTTGGCAGCCAAATGCAGAGCAATTTCTGTTCAGATAGTCATTTTCAACAAACATTTAGAAATTCAAGTTTTCCCACAAAACCCTCTCCACCAGCTTTACCAACCTTTTTGTATCCAGCTATGCATCGCACACAGAACGTGCTGCATCAAAATAAAAATAATTCTCAATCCACACTATACTATACACTATACATGGTTGGGTCAAAAAGTTTTGCCTCCCGTGTCATAAAAATATTTTGAATGAACATAGAACAGCAGAAGTCACTATAGATCATAGCCTGAACTATCTTCTACTCAAAACTGTCATTCAACATAGTCGCCTTCAGTTAGTACACATTTGCACCATTGTTTAAACCAGGCATCAAAACCGTTTTGGAAAAAAATCAGGGTTTTTCTTCCTGACCTATGATTGTAACGCTGTTTGAATGTCATTCAGGTCATTGAATTTGAAACCATGTAGGTTGTCTTTCAGAGGTCGCACATTGCTGATGTCCATTACATCATCCCCATAAACATCCTTCAAGCAGTTACGGATTTCCTTAGGTTCACAACCTTCTTTTGCCAGAAATTAAATGACTTTTAGCTTCAGATTCATGGTTCTAATCAGTCAATTGGAAAAAGAAAAGACTGTATCCGTAGAGTAAGGTTACCTCTATCATATCATGCTTAGATAGTCCTGTAGCTGTGAAAGAAATAAAAGTTAAAGTAATGGAGGCATTACTTGTTGACCCATCCTCATATATTTGCATTCAGTTTATCTCTCTCTGTGTGTATATGTATGTATGTGATGGGCAATGCCAAGTCCTGCAGAGGCAGCAGGAGGAGGAGAAGGAATGAGGCCGCCAGCTGCTTGCACAGCTGGGGAAGTTGTTTGGAGGAGGTGGAGCTCTTGAGATAAATATCTCCAACCGCAGAGGGTTAACCAGCACTTCATTTAACAGGATTGGATTTGGATTGCCAGTCCAAGAAAGGAAGAGTAGCGAAAGGCAAAGGTGGGAGGAGGGGTTGTTTACATTGAACTAAGTATTAATCTTCAACACAGGAGTCAGGTTTTTTTAAAAAAATGCCTTTGAAAAGACAAATCCTAGTGCAAGCCAGAATTGAGTTACTGGAATTTCCCAGCATGGGGTGGAGAGAAGCGGGAGGAGGACTTGGTTTGTACAGCATAGCATTTAATAAGGATGGGGGTGTGGAGATGTCTTTATTTTCCACCTCTTTGCATCTTCTCCCTCACCACTTAAATATTTAAAGTCTTTGCAAGTGTAAAGATTTTGCTGATGTTAGCTGCTGAAAACAGCTGACATAATTTAGGCAAGCAATCAAAAGTCTTGTTTTGGATTAGGGGAATTTGGTGCTATTTTTGGATAAATATTTGGTTGGAGGTAAAATGTATGCAGTTAATAAATTGATCATTAGGTAGAATGAATCTGAGGTGGTTAGAAGTCAAGGCTGTTTAGTGCTGAAACTCTGAATAACCTAGAAGGTACTTAAATTTTAAATAATTCATTAGCAAACTTGTATTAGCCTTTGGTGCTCAAATTGTCTGACTTCGCTGTTGTGTTCTTTCAAGTTATTTCTGATTGTAACAACCCCAAGTAAAATACATTGTGGAGTTTCCTTTGCAGGCATTGTTCAGAGTGGATTTGCCCTTGCAGTGGTTCCCAGCCTTTGGTCCTCCAGGTGTTTTGGACTTCAACTCCCAGAAATCTCAGCCAGCTTACCAGCTGTTAGGCATTGTGGGAGCTGAAGTCCTAAACACCTGGAGGACCAAAGGTTGGGAACCGCTGCAAGATGTATAGAGAGTGTGACCTGTCCAAAGTCATCTAGTGTGCTTCTGAGCAGGAATTATACCTGGTTTCCCAGTGTCTTAGTTCAAGACTCAAACCATTACATCACATTTCCTCTCATGAGTGTCTGGTACTTCAACATATATGTATATTTCTATTTCAGTGATTGCTTGAGTGTTATTTCTGATTTGCTTGCATCTTTTTGATGTGCTGTTTTAAACAGGCTCTTTTATTGCAGGGATTATCTGGCATTAGTTTAGGGAAAATTTTCCTGGAGGAGAAATTGACTGGTGATTCTACATAGAGCTGCGCGTTCCCGTTAATGATTTGATGGGGTGCCGGCTGGTAGAATGAGTGCTATTTAGGTCAAAAGTACTGGGAACAGGAGGGACTTGGCTCCCTTATGTTAGAAGAGCAAATGTTTTGTATTCAAAGTAAAACATGTCATGTCATGTATACTTTTAATAAGCTTACAACACAGCCCTGTCAGAGCACAAGGAAATGTTGCAAAACAATAAGAATCAACAGCAAAAGCATTCTTCTTGTGGAATTTATTTTGAACTTTTGAAAATAGACTCCAAGTTGGGTTGAAGCAGAAAGAGACAGGTTCTAGTATACGTTGTTTTTATCTCTGCTGTATAAAAGAATACGTTAAATAGATGAGCATACATATTAAACTCGTTGTTGCCATAAATTACCTTTTCTAATGATTTGTAGTCCTAACTTATTTTTTAATATTACTGTTAATGCCATATTTAGTTGATTAAAAATCTCAATGCAATCCAGGTATACAACTTTGCTGCAGTAATTCGTAATAGAGTTTGTGTTGTTGAGCGCCTTCAAGTTGATTCCAATTTATGGTGACCCTATAGTAAGCATATTATAGAATTCAGCTACTAAAAACACTCCCAGGCGGGACTTCTTGTTGTTATTCTGATGTAGGGCCCTTCTACACAGCCATATAACCCAGAATATCAAGGCAGATAATCCACAATATCTGCTTTGAACACCACCATATAATCCAGTTCAATGTGGATTTTATACAGCTGTGTGGAAGGGGCCCTAGTGATCCTATCTCAGGGTTTTCTTGGAAGGATTAGTTGCCATTTTCTTCCTCTGAGGCTAAGAGAGAGTGTCTTGCCCAAGGTTAACCAGTGAGCTTTCATGGCCAAGCAGAGATTCGAATGCAGGTCTCCAGAGTTGTAGTCCAATGCTCAAAATATTACACTATGCTGGCTCTCACTAAACCTAAACTACCCTGAGGATAAAAAAGGTAACATGAGGCCACCAGTTTGATTTATTGGATTTCCTTTGGGAAGGTTGCTGTAAATGAGCAAACATGCTGCATGTGTTTGTTTTGTCAGCACTGCATGACTCTGTTATAAACTGATGTTTAACAGCCTTAATAGAATTGTGGTGCTCCACTGTTACAAGGAAAAGTTGTGTTTATTTTCAGCTACTGCATTTTTATTTTGCTACTACTTTTACGAAGACAAGCACATCTATGAAAGGAATGACATTTGTTTGTCTAGCATTATATGCCTTTTTATTTTAATTTTCTTCTGAACTTCCTCCCCTCCAATTTCTACAAATCTTGATGTTGTGTACTCTACTTGCCTGAAAGGGAAGGGAGTGAAGGTTGTGTCCTTCCAGTTTTCAAAGTGTCAAAGGAAGAAGGGGTGAATGCCTTTCAGAGGGTGATATACTGAGGTTGAAGATGTGATTAAATAGCTTTGGTGTTCAGTAATCATAACCTTTTGAAACCACATAGTTGGAAGTGGCCTCATGGGCTATTGAGTCCAACCCCCTACTTAGTGCAGGATTTCAATCTAGAGCATCACCAATCGGTAGCTGTCTACCCTCTTTTTTAAGATACCCAGGGGAGGAGACCCCACCAACACCCTAGGCCAGTGGTTCTCAAAGTGTGCTCTGCGGTTCCCTCTTCTTTCCTTCTCTCCCTCCTCACTCTCCCTCCTCTTTCCTGCTCCTCCCCCCCAAACCCTTTCCTATCTCCTTTGCCCTCAAAAGCCTTTTTCCTTTCCTCCCTTACCACCCAGATCCTTCCCCCCCCCCCAATCTTCCTTGCTTCCAAAACCCTATTTCTATCCCATCGCTCAGGGGATGCTTTGATTGTGCTTTTCCGGCATAGCAAAAGAGTGTGGGACTGGATGGCCCCTGGAGTTCCTGTTGCTGTTGTTGTTGTTGTCGT